TCCATCTGCAGAACTCGATGCAAGCTCTGCCGGAGCGCCTTCCTTTGAGGCAGCCTGAATCTCTCAAAGATGACAGTGCACGCTTCTCCGACCATCTTGATCTGTACAGGGAAATCGACAGCAAACTCTATGCCACCAGGGGTCTAAGAACAGCGGACTGGCGTAAATGGATAGGGTCTGTGGCATTCGGTGCCGAGGCGCTCCCGCTGCCGCCCCTGGAGGAGCCCAAGCTAAAGCACTGCACGACCATCACATGCAGCGTGTGGATGTTGATGCATGTGCTAGCAGAGGGGGCTAAGAGGCTTTCCGTTAAGGTCAACGCACATCCCAAGTGCGGCCGCGGTGAGCTCTTCTTCAAGAGGAAAGGACAGGCGCTGCCGATTTACCTTCTACAGCAGCAACAGGAGCAGCGAAGACCTGTCGATCTTGATAAAGTCATTGACACCGCATCTTTGTCAACTGTGAGTCCTTCCCCTATGCTCATTTTATCTGCATTTGGCAATGAAGCTTATTCACCCTATAAAGCATACAGGACGCGCTTACCATAAGACCAGTTTCAGCAGCAGTAATGTGCAGTGCTATCATTAGTAGAACATGGCACTGTGATTCACCCACAGGAAATATACCCGGTTTAATTACCCTCATTGATCATGCGTCAGTTTGTATTGTGAGCTTTGTATGGGGCGTGTGCACAGGAGGAGCTAATCGAGCAGAACCCTTCCTTGGGCTGCATGTCCGTACCCGCCTTCGAAGTGGCTTACACCATTTACAATTTCTTGCAGCGCTTTTTTGGTTGCAATGCGTGTCGGCAGCACTTCACTTTGCTGTTTTCGGAGCGGAGCCACGGGTTGGATGCTGTTTCGCCTCCTGCGGGAGGTGCGCACATCCGTTTGCCTCTTCCTGCGGATGCACAGACGGAGGTCCCCGCGCCAAGAGGGAGCGNGGAGGTGCGCACATCCGTTTGCCTCTTCCTGCGGATGCACAGACGGAGGTCCCCGCGCCAAGAGGGAGCGACAGCTCTCTTCTTGAAGATTTTAGAGGGCAGCGTGCGGACTCGAATTACGCATGGAAGAATAGGCACCGGGAGGCCATCAAGATGGACGACCTCAAGCTGTGGCTATGGAGGCTCCACAACGCGGTGACTGTACGCACAGCTGCTGATACCACGCTTGCCTTCCTAAAGGGCGACGCCGGAGCCGTTAATTATGCCAATTGCGACACGAGGTGGCCCCCGAGGGCCGCATGCACCAGCTGTAGAGATACTCCACCGCCAGAAACTGGCCTGGTTTCTATACCGCTGCTACTAGCGAGAGATGCAGACAAGGACATTCTTGCAATGGAGGAAGAATTTGGAGATTTCAACAGGGCACATGTTTTAAGCTTCTTGAGGCAAAGTTATTGGCCAGATGACGTTGAGGACATGAAAGTTTGACGGAAACCGCATCAGTTCTGCTGGTGGAGTAGCCACTGCAAAAACAGCTNGTTGAGGACATGAAAGTTTGACGGAAACCGCATCAGTTCTGCTGGTGGAGTAGCCACTGCAAAAACAGCTATGACAGGAAGTAAATACATGGCTAAGCCTTCGTCAGGTTTCGTCCCACAAGTGAAGGGGAGGTGGTAGAGTTTTGCCTACGCCGTCTCAGCGAGCAAAGCAGCTGAAACGATGCAGCGACGCGGAGAAGACGTACGGAAGCAGAAACGCCATCCAGAGCAACAGCAGCTCTTGCTGTCAGGTTGCTCCGCCCCAGTATGCTAAATGCAGCAGCCGCTACTGTGGTCG